ACATGGGAATAGACCTCGAAATTGATTGTAATCGATAAATGCAGATTTTCTGCAGATTAATTTTAAGATGCAAATCAATGTCGAATGTTTTGCATCCGCTCTAGAAACTAGGCCTGGGTAATACCGTGTTTTAAGAGACTAGTGTGTTAATGGCGCACGGTGTGTCCATGTGCCGCGACACTTTGAACAACACTTAACATTTAATCTGGTTCAAGAAGGTAGACTTCGGAGAAAATAAACACTTTGTATGATGGCAAACACTAGAGCGGAGGACACGCATATTATGGATATTTTGCGGTTACTGTAATTATGTGGCGCATCAGATTCTTCAGTATGAATAAATTGGTAACTCTCTTAATACGGGACCGATTTGGATCGTTGAAAATTCCTTCTAAAACGAGTGTTTTGGTCTAAAAATCGTATTTTGCAACCTTGAAATCAGTTGAGCATCTTAAATGTTATAAGAGTTTGAAGGTGTTGTCAATGTTTTCCTTGTGGATTTAAGGGCGATTTTCTTTTGGAAAAACAGATTTTTGCACGCGGAAAGTTTCTATGTAACTGTTAATATCGGGCCGATTTGAAAATGTTGAAATTTGTGGAAAAACGAACGATTTTCTTTAAAAACTGCATCTCCGAAAATTGCAATCGGTTAAGGTCGAAAAGACGATTTTCCGAACAAAATACTTAGAATTTTACCGCGATTAACTCTTTTTCAAAATAGAACATCAGATTGTTCGCAAATTGTACTCTCGACACATTCATTGTCTATAAGAAAATTTGTATTTGCAACAGTTTGGAACGAAATGGGTTCTGAATATATTCAGATCCGAAATTATCATTCCGGATCTCAAACTTTTGGCATGTTTTTCAATGAGTTCGATGCATTTCTTGCGTCCGTGAGCTGAAAATGATGCAAAATTTAAGGCATTTTGAAACAATTTTAATTTTTCAAAAAATCGACCCCCACCCTTATAAAATTTTCGGCCAAAAATCAAAATTTCACATGGGTGTTTTTTGAGCTAAATCGATTCCTCTCCACATAAGAAGGTCACAAATATGCATTTATAAAGTATTTGGTTCAATAATAAGGAAGAAATCCTCGGATAAAGATTTTAAGTATTTGCACGTAACTTAAAGCCTTTCATTAAACTCACTTTTCACCTTTAGAAACAAGACTTCGTTTGTTTAACAGTATGAAAGTTGGATAAACATGCGTCGATTATAAGACTTGTTAAACTGCAAGATGAAGACAAATGCTAAATGGAAAATCGCCAGTCGGAAAACACCCAGCTGGATATTAATGATGTTTTTCATATTTAGCGAACGACTTTTAAAAATCTTAATGCCCGATCAAGCAATCAAACGGGTAATTTATCTGGTGTTTTTAAGCAGCGCTCCACAAAAATCGCCATTTCATTGTTAGAGATGATTGATGACGCTCTCTTACTATATGCTACTAAACTCACACCATAAGTTAATCGACCAAAAATATTTTAGCGACGATAGCGACTTTTTTGCCTTTGTTTGCGCTTTGTTTTAACGAACTACATTATTTATTTTTCCAACCTTTTGTTGCGGAAAATAGGCACGTTTCCACGCTCAGAGCGCTGCTCGATTTTTATCGCGACTTGTGCCTTTAGGATTTTTTGAAGGTTTTTTTATCGCCTTTACATGTAGGTACTTTTTGATGACCTAAAAAAATCTTAAATGTGAATAATAAAAACCTGTTAAGCAGGCGCACCAAATCAAACAAGCCGGTATTTGCACTCCAGCCGAAAACAAACAGGGTTAGTTTCGAATCATTTTTTCGTGCTGTATGCGATGGGCATAACCAGGAACAAAGCAAACAACCCCTAGCCACAGCATCCCTTGAATAGTTTTCAATGTGATTCGTATAACCTGCACATATGTTCATTTGCTTTGGAAAAAAGTTAGGTTTGATAGCACCTTGCATGCTGGTTTATGTGCAATCGAAGCGGCCGATTCAATACTTGTTTCGACGTTATACTTTCGAATGGGGGATTGCTAATTCCTCTAAGCCTGGAGTATTTATTCGTCCCATCCACTGGATCAGGACTACATTTAATAAGGGGGTGGAATAGAAATCACTTGTGAGCAGCGGCGCACTTACCTGGCTCGTCCAACTGATAAACACAATTTTATGGGAACGAACTTGGTTTTTTTGCGTTTGAAAGATCATAAGATTGTTAATAACTCAATAATAGTGGTAAACCACATTTGGCCAAATGCTTATTAAACAAGGGTATTTTTTAATAGTAGTTTTCGATACAAGGGCGAAAAATGTCGTTTTTCGAACGACGACGCCGTTTGACACCCGAGACGAAGTCGAAGGTGTCAATCCGTCAGGAGTTCGAAAAACAAATTTTCGCCCTCGTATCGAACACTATTTTTTATTCGAATAAAAGATTACACGAATAATAAAATGCATCGATTTCATATTTAAAATTTTGTGGCAATGTCATTTTTTGAAATGTCATGTTTAGAAGTTTGTAATTAAGTTTAAGTACTTTTTCTGTGGTCTTGAGATGGTGTATGCATGTTGCATACTCTGCATGACATTTGCGCTTCTTAAAAAGATCGTGTTTTACGTGTGACAACATCGCAAAAGTAGATAAGTAGGCCATTAAAACGATTATGAGACTGAACTTGTAACAAAGGTATAATTTACAAATTGTAAGTAAA